CAGCGAAGCGAAGGAGCTGTCATACCTCAAGGACAACGTCGTGCCTTGTGCGGTCGGTGAGAGTATCGACACGCCCAGGCTAAGACAAATATTCTTCTACAGGCGTATATTTCGCGGGCGCAGATGGAAGACTTTGCGCTTGGCAATGATCTCAACTACGTGGCGCAACAGTCTGGACGTATCTGCAGAGCGCTGTTCATGATCGCGCTCAACAGGAGATGGGGACACCAGTGTCTGGTGCTTCTTACTCTAGCAAAGTCTATTGAGAGGCGTATCTGGCCATTCCAGCATCCCCTTCATCAGTTCGACTTGGTCAAGTCGGTTCTCAATCAGCTTGATGCTAAGGCAAATCTCACAATCGAGGCCATGCGAGACATGGATCCAGCGGAGATTGGTGGCCTTGTTCACAACCAGGCTGCTGGTAAAAACATCTCACGGATACTGAGCAACTTCCCTACGGTTAGCATTGAAGCAGAGATTGCTCCCCTGAACCGCGATGTGTTGCGGATCAGGCTGTTCATCACACCTGACTTCCGATGGAATGACCATGTCAATGGCACCTCCGAATCGTACTACATCTGGGTCGAGAACTCGGAAACATCCGAGATTTACCATCACGAATTCTTCATCCTGAGTCGCAGGAAGCTCAACGACGACCACGAACTCAACTTCACCATTCCCCTGTCTGATCCTCTCCCCACGCAGATCTATGTTCGGGCCGTGTCCGACAGGTGGCTCGGTGCTGAGACGGTGACACCAGTCTCATTCCAACACCTGATCCGTCCTGACACCGAGAGCTTCTATACCGATCTACTGAATCTACAACCGCTCTCTATCTCGGCGCTGAAGAATCCTGCCCTGGAGGAGATTTATGCGCAACGATTCCAATACTTCAACCCCATGCAGACGCAAATCTTCCACACGCTTTACAACACCCCCGCCAACGTCCTTCTCGGGTCCCCGACAGGCAGTGGCAAAACAGTGGCAGCCGAGCTCGCGATGTGGTGGGCTTTCAAGGAGCGTCCTGGATCCAAGGTCGTTTATATCGCGCCGATGAAGGCACTTGTTCGTGAACGAGTTAAGGATTGGGGCGCCCGGCTGGCCAAGCCTCTCGGGTTGAAGCTCGTCGAATTGACTGGTGAGTTCGTTGACTCTGTAGGCTGGAGCTCCTGCTGACAATGGATCTAGGTGACAACACTCCCGACACTCGCACCATCAAGGACGCCGATGTGATTATTACCACGCCCGAAAAGTGGGATGGTATCTCTCGTAGCTGGCAGACCCGTGGCTACGTCCGACAGGTCAGCTTGGTCATCATTGACGAGATTCACCTTCTCGCGGGTGATCGAGGTCCGATTCTGGAAATCATCGTTTCCCGAATGAACTACATTGCAGCTTCTACCAAGAACTCTGTCCGCCTACTGGGCATGTCGACAGCTTGCGCGAATGCTTCGGACCTGGGCAACTGGCTCGGCGTCAAGGAGGGCCTGTTCAACTTTCGACACTCTGTACGCCCTGTTCCCTTGGAGCTATACATTGACGGGTTCCCTGAGGTGCGGGGCTTCTGTCCGTTGATGCAGTCGATGAACAGACCGACATTTCTCGCTGTTAAGACTCACAGTCCTGACAAGCCTGTCATTGTCTTCGTGCCATCCCGAAGACAGACGCGCCTTACGGCCAAGGATCTCATCAATCTGTGTGGTATGGAGGACAACCCTCGGCGGTTCCTCCACATGGACGAAGAAGACCTGCAGTTGAATCTTACGAGGGTCAAGGACGAGGCTCTCAAGGAGGCCATCAGCTTCGGTATTGGCCTCCATCATGCTGGTCTGGTCGAGTCGGACCGACAGCTCGCCGAAGAGCTGTTCCTCAACAATAAGATCCAGATTCTCGTGGCGACGAGCACCCTCGCTTGGGGTGTCAATCTGCCAGCGCACCTGGTTGTCGTCAAAGGCACGCAGTTCTATGACGCCAAGATCGAGGGATACAAGGACATGGACCTTACGGATGTATTGCAGATGCTGGGACGCGCAGGACGTCCACAGTTCGACAATTCGGGCGTAGCTCGCATCTTCACGCAAAACGCCAAGAAGGACTTTTACAAGCACTTCCTTCATACTGGCTTTCCTGTCGAGTCGTCACTTCACACGGTGTTGGACAACCATTTGGGGTGCCGAAGTTTCGGCCGAGACCATTGTCACCAAGCAGGATGCGCTCGACTACCTCACATGGACCTTCTTCTTCCGTCGACTACACAAGAACCCATCATTCTACGGGCTGGAGATTTCGGCCGAAGATCATAATAGCACGGCGGCGCAACGTCTGGCCAACGACTTTATGATTGAGATGGTAGAGAAGTCGCTTGGCGAGCTCGCTAAGTCGAGCTGTGTCGAAGTGTACCCTAACGGCGACGTCGACTCAACACCACTCGGCAAGATCATGTCGTACTACTATCTCTCCCATCTGACGATCAGGCTTCTCGCCAAGTACGCGGCGCCGAACGCATCGTTCCTCGACGTGCTGTCGTGGATGTCCCGCGCAACCGAGTACGACGAGCTCCCCGTGCGTCACAACGAGGACCTCATCAACGCAGAACTCTCCCGAAATCTGCCCCTTCCTGCGACGGCCTTCAACATGCCCATGTGGGACCCGCACGTCAAGGCCTTCCTGTTGCTCCAGGCGCACTTTTCCCGCGTCAACCTGCCCATCAGCGATTACGTCGGCGATCAAACATCCGTTCTCGACCAGGCCATCCGTATCATCCAGGCATCGATCGACGTGCTCGCCGAGCTGGGCTACCTGTCGAGCTGCCTGCAAATGATGGCTCTCCTCCAGTCCGTAAAGTCCGCCCGATGGCCCACCGACCCCGCCGCCTCCATCCTGCCCGGCGTCGATGCCGAGTCGCCCGTCATCAAGGAGGCCGACCGCAAGCTGCCTCTCGCGGCCATCACGGCCCTTCCGCATGCGAAGCTCTCGCAGCTCGCGGCGCGTCTCGGCGTCTCCAGCTCGCAGCAGCCACGCTTCCTCAAAGCCGCCGCTGCCCTGCCAAACGTCAAGGTCTCCATCCCGGACATAACAGCACAGGGCGCCACCATCGAGCTGCGCCGGCTCAACGCCATCACCGAGCGCGAGGCGCGCATCTACGCGCCCCGCTTCCCCAAGCCGCAGACGGAAGGCTGGTTCGTCATCGTCGGCGACGTGGCCAAG